ATACTTTATTCTAATTCTAATCATAAAACACGGAGATATGGTTTTTATTTACATATATATAAAATTTCCGATACATTTGGATAGGATTTTGCTTGAAATAAGGATTATTGACCTTAAATGGCTTTTATTTAATAACAGCCATTGTATTTAATTCTATGTAATTCAGAATTGTTTAGACCTGTATAATTATATATGCAACATATATATAATTGTGGTTCCCTCTCGGAACAGGTGTACCTAATAAAGAGGAAAGGTGAGTGTACTGTATATACACTGCTCAAAAAATTAAAGGAACACTTTTTAAACAGAGTATAGCATCAAGCCAAGTAAATTCCTGGGATATTGATCTGGTCAGTTAAGTAACAGAGGGGGTTGTTAATCAATTTCAACTGCTTTGGTGTTAATTAAATTAACAACAGGTGCACTAGATGAGCAACAATGAGACAAACAACCCAAAACCGGAATAGTTTTTTACAGGTGGAGGCCACTGACAATTTTTTATCCCTACTCATCTTTTCTGACTGTCTTTCACTAGTTTTGAATTTGGCTAGGGCATGACCACTTTGGATGTTAATGATCTTTCATACCAGAGCGCCATACACATCTTTCCTCCTGTTACCTCTAAAATCATAGATGCTATATATACATTCATGCATGTGTGTGTAACAGATTTTCAGCTCTGATGAAAAGGGGACCCCATCTCAATGTGTCAGCTTTTGTGTGCCCACATGGCACCTTACCCATGTACAAGAGGCATGCATAGTGGATCTGGCTGTCTTTCATTTGGATAATTGTGAACCTTGCTTCCTGTTGGTTTGTGAGAATAATCATTCATTATATTTTCTAATAAATGGTGTTTAATGATAATACTGTTGGTGCTTATATATATTTTTATAATAATAATATATCACTGCCTAATGCAGCCACTACTGCAAGGGACAGAGAGGTCACTAACAGTGGTGGTTGCATCTCTCTCCTATTGAAAATGACTGCCCAATCACAATGAACAAAGCAACCAAGTACAATATACACTTACTGGCCACTTTATTAGGTACACCTTGCTAGTACCAGGTTGTACCCCCTTTTGCCTTCAGAACTGCCTTAATTCATTGTAGCATAGATTCAACAAGGTACTGGAAATTTTCCACAGAGATCTTGGTCCATATTGACATGATAGGATTATGCAGTTGCTGCAGATTTGCCGGCTGCACATCCATACTGCGAATCTCCATTTCCACCACATCCCAAAGGTGCTCTATTGGATTGAGATCTGGTGACTATGGAGGTCATTGGAGTAAACTGAACTCATTGTCATTTTCAAGAAACGAGTTTGAGATGATATAAGCTTCATGACATGATGCATTATCCTGCTGGAAGCAGTCACCAGGAGAAGGGTACTCTGTAGTCATAAAGGGATGGACATGGTCAGCAAGAATACTCAGGTAGGCCGTGGTGTGTTTAAACGATGCTCAATTAGTATTAGGGGCCCAAAGTGTGCCAAGAAAATTTCCCCCACACCATTACACCACAACCATCAGCCTGAAACGTTGATACAAGGCAGGATGGATCCATGCTTTCATGTTGTTTAGGCCAAACTCTGACCCTATCATCTGAATGTCACAGCTGAAATCGAGACTCATTAGACCAGGCAATGTTTTTCCAATCTTCTATTGTTCAATTTTGGTGAGCCTGTATGAATTGTATCCTCCATTTCCTGTTCTTAGCTGAGAGGAGTGGCACCCGGTGTGGTCTTCTGCTGCTGTAACCCATCTGCTTCAAGGTGCAATGTGTTGTGCATTCAGAAATGGTATTCTGCATACCCTGGTTGTAACGAGTGGTTATTTGAGTTACTGTTGCCTTTCTATCATCTTGAACCAGTCTGCCCATTCTCCTTTGACCTCTGACATCAACAAGGCATTTTCTTCCACACAACTGCTGCTCACTGGATATTTTCTCTTTTTCTGACCATTCTCTGTAAACCCTAGAGATGGATGTGTGTGAAAATCCCAGTGGATCAGCAATTTTTGAAACACTCAAACTGCCCGTCTGGCACCAACAACCATTCAACGTTCAAAGTCACTTAAATTCCCTTTATTCCCCATTCTGATGCTCGGTTTGAACTTCAGCAAGTCGTCTTCACCACGTTCTAAATGCATTGAGTTGCTGCCATGTGATTGACTGATTTGCCATTTGTGTTATCAAGCAATAGAACAGGTGTACCTAATAAAGAGGCAGGTGATTGTATGTACACTGCTCAACAAAATTAAAGGAACACTTTTTAAGTAGAGTATAGCATCAATCCAAGTAAACGCCTTGGATATTGATCTGGTCAGTTAAGTAGCAGAGGGAGTTGCTAACCAATTTCAGCTGCTTTGGTGGTAATTAAATTAATAACAGCTGCACTAGATGAACAAAAATGAGACAGCCCCCCAAAACAGGTGGAGGCCACTGACATTTTTATCCCTACTCATCTTTTCTGACTGTCTTTCACTAGTTTTGAATTTGGCTAGGGTCAGTGTCACTACTGGTAGCATAAGTCAATACTTGGACCCTACAGAGGTTGCACAGGTAGTCCAACTGCTCCAGGATGGCACATCAATACATCCCATTGCCAGAAGGTTTGATGAGTCTCTCAGCACAGTCTCAGGAGCATGGAGAAGATTCCAGCAGACAGACAGTTACTTTAGGAGAGCTGGACAGGGCCATAGAAGGTCCTTAATCCATCAGCAGGACCAGTATGTGCTCCATTGTGCAAGGAGGAATAGGGTGAGCACTGCCAGAGCCCTACAAAATGACCTCCAACAACCCACTGGTGTGAATGTCTCTGACCAAACAATCAGAAATAGACTTCATGAGGGTGGCCTGAGGGTCCAACAGCCTCTAATGGACCTTGTGCTCACTGACCAGCACCATAGCGCCCGACTGGCATTTGCCATTGAACACCAGAATTGGCAGGTCCACCACTGGTGCCCCGTTGCTGCTTTTCACAGATGAGAGCAGGTTCACCTGAGCACATATGACAGACGTGAAAGGGTCTGGAGAAGCTGTGAAGAACGTTATGCTGCCTGTAACATCGTTCAACATGACTGTTTTGGTGGTGGGTCAGTGATGGTCTGGGGAGGCATATCCATGGAAGGATGCACAGATTTCTACAGGCTAGACAATGGCACCCTGACTGCCATTAGGTATCGGGATGAAATCCTTGGACCCATTGTCAGACCCTACGCTGGTGCACTGGGTCCTGGGTTTCTCCTGGTGCACAACAATGCACGTTGAGAGAGTATGCAGGCAGTTCCTGGAGGATGAAGGAATTGATACCATTGAATGGCCCCCACACTCGCCTGACTAAATCCATAGAACACCTCTGGGATATCTTGGTGCATTCCAACACTGCTAGGTTGCACCTCAGATGTCCAGGAGCTCAGTGATACCCTGGTCCAGATCTGGGAGGAAATACCCCAGGACACCATCCATTGTCTCATTAGGAGTATGCCCCGACATTTTCAGGCATGCTTACAAGCATGTGAGGGCCATACACACTACACTGAGTACCTGTCAGGAATGGACTGGCCAGCAATGGTGGGACTCACCTGCCTTATGAGCTGCAGTACCAGGGCTGGCCAGCGGGTGCTCCCAGCAATTAGAGACTCAACCTTTGCAGCCAGTCAAACACCTGGAACTGGTTATACTGGTGTATTTAAGGGATGGCCAGACCTGCAGACTCTGCCTTGGTGTGTGTTTCTCCTGGGCCCTGTATCCTGTTCCTGCTCCCTGTTCCTGTTCCTGTTCCTGCTCCCTGCTCCCTGTTCCTGTTCCTGTCTGATTCGTTGCTGACCCTGCTCTGATCCCTGGCTTGTCTGACCATTCTCCTCTGCCTGACCCCTCTGTACCACGCTGCCCGCTACCTGCTGAACCTGGCTTGTGACCCCGACCATTCTCCGCTTGCTCCCCCTGTACCTACCTGCCCGATTGATATTGACCCGGCCTGCCTGACGACGCTTGCATTGTATGTACTGCCATCTGTGGGTGGTTGGTTTGGTTTGTTTGCACTGTGTTATGTTTTAGTATTGCACTGCATTTATGTTTGTATTGTTAGTGTTAATAAATTATATTGTCTATAACATATCTGAAGTCTGCGTTTCCCTGCATCAGTCACACACCTCTGGTCATACCCGGGAGCTCTGACATTACACCAAGGCCAATCCTGACCAGAAGTGGCTGCACAGGGAAGCCATCTTGGTTTGTTGATGGGAAGGATGGATTCTTGATGAGATTGTGTATTTATATCTGCTAGTGTTTGATGACAGAGAGTATGCTTATGCTGCATGTTCACCACAGATACTAAGAGATTGTATAAACGCAGTGCAGTCTTTGGTCAGACAGGCTTTGTGTAAGCTCAGCTTTGTTCAACCCATACTGCAGACATGGACAGATTTGTTGCACCCAGCCTCAGTCAGCCTACAAAAACCCAGTCCTGCTTCTAATCTATTTCCTCAAAGCTCTATTCCTGCATTCCCAACAGCTCCTCCTGCCCTGCTATCTACCGCATGTCAGTACCCTGTTCCCACTCGCTGCACCTATCCTGCCTTAACCCTGTAAAAAAGCCCTCTGTAGCAACTGCTCCCTCCCCTGTTCCATCCTCCAGCTCTTCTCTGTCTCTCAGCTGCTCCATTCGTTTGCAGACCTGCGTTTACTTGCAGTGCTCCAGTAGTTAAAACCAGAAAAAAGCGAAAATTCTTTCCAACCAGTACCATCCTGCCAGTATCCAAACCGGTGAGCCTGCCGTCTGAGAACCTGCCTTCCGTGGTTCAGCCTGGTGCCTCGGCACCCGCACTTCAGCCTGAGGTCTGTACCCAGCCTGATGCCTGTACCCAGCCTGATGCCTCTCTTCAGCCTGATGCCTCTACTCAGCCTGATGCCTCTACTCAGCCTGATGCCTCCACTCAGCCTGATGCCTCTACCCAGCATGATGAACTGATCCAGCCTGATGATCCTATTAGGCCAGTTGACTCGATGCCCGCTATTGATCCAGATGATCCGGTACCTGATCCGGTGCCCGCTGTCGTGCCAATTGATTCAGAGCCCGCTGTCGTACCTGGTGACTTGGTGCCCACTGCCTTGCCAGATGACGCGGTGCTCGTTGGCGAGCCAAATGACCTGATGCCTGGTGACCCAGTGCCCGCTGTCATACCTGGTGACCGATACCCGCTGTCGAGCCAGACGATCCAATGCCTGGTGACCCGGTGCCCACTGCCTTGCCAGATGACACGGTGCCCACTGGCAAGCCAAATGACCTGATGCCTGGTGACCCGATGCCCGCTGTCCAGCCAGACGATCCAATGTTTGACCCAGTGCCCGCGGTCATACCAGTTGACTCAGAGCCCACTGCCTTGCCAGATGACGCGGTGCCCGCTGCCTTGCCAGATGACGCAGTGCCCGCTGGCGAGCCAAATGACCTGATGCCTGGTGACCCAGTGCCCGCTGTCATACCTGGTGACCCGATGCCCGCTGTCGAGTCGAGCCAGACGATCCAATGCCTGGTGACCTGGTGCCCACTGCCTTGCCAGATGACACGGTGCCCACTGGCAAGCCAAATGACCTGATGCCTGGTGACCCGATGCCCGCTGTCCAGCCAGACGATCCAATGTCTGACCCAGTGCTAGCGGTCATGCCAATTGACTCAGAGCCCGCTGTCGTACCTGGTGACTCGGTGCCCACTGCCTTGCCAGATGACGCAGTGCCCGCTGGCGAGCCAAATGACCTGATGCCTGGTGACCCAGTGCCCGCTGTCATACCTGGTGACCCGATGCCCGCTGTCGAGCCAGACGATCCAATGCCTGGTGACCTGGTGCCCACTGCCTTGCCAGATGACGCGGTGCCCGCTGGCAAGCCAAATGACCTGATGCCTGGTGACCCGATGCCCGCTGTCCAGCCAGACGATCCAATGTCTGACCCAGTGCCCGCGGTCATACCAGTTGACTCGGAGCCCACTGCCTTGCCAGATGACGCGGTGCACGCTGTCGAGCCAAATGACCTGATGCCTGGTGACCGGATGCCCGCTGTCCAGCCAGACGATCCAATGTCTGACCCAGTGCCAGCGGTCATGCCAGTTGACTCGGAGCCCACTGTCGTGCCTGGTGACTCGGTGCCCACCGCTCCGCCTGGGGGCCTGAGACCTGTCGCTCCGCCTGGGGGCCTGAGACCTGTCGCTCCGCCTGGGGGCCTGAGACCTGTCTCTCCGCCTGGGGGTCCGGCACCCGCCGCTCCGCCTGGGGGCCCGAGACCTGTCGCTCCGCCTGGGGGTCCGGCGCCCGCCGCTCCGCCTGGGGGCCTGAGACCTGTCGCTCCGCCTGGGGGCCTGAGACCTGTCGCTCCGCCTGGGGGCCTGAGACCTGTCGCTCCGCCTGGGGGCCCGAGACCTGTCGCTCCGCCTGGGGGCCCGAGACCTGTCGCTCCGCCTGGGGGTCCGGCGCCCGCCGCTCCGCCTGGGGGCCCGAGACCTGTCGCTCCGCCTGGGGGTCCGGCGCCCGCCGCTCCGCCTGGGGGCCCGAGACCTGTCGCTCCGCCTAGGGGTCCGGCGCCCGCCGCTCCGCCTGGGGGTCCGGCGCCCGCCGCTCCGCCTGGGGGCCTGAGACCTGTCGCTCCGCCTGGGGGCCTGAGACCTGTCGCTCCGCCTGGGGGCCCGAGACCTGTCGCTCCACCTGTGGGTCCGGCGCCCGCCGCTCCGCCTGAGGGCCCGAGACCTGTCGCTCCGCCTGGGGGTCCGGCGCCCGCCGCTCCGCCTGGGGGTCCTGCACCCGCCGCTCCGCCTGGGGGCCCGAGACCTGTCGCTCCGCCTGGGGGTTCCGGCGCCCGCCGCTCCGCCTGGGGGCCCGATGCCTGTCGCCCCGCCTGGGGGCCCGATGCCTGTCGTCCCGGCTGGGGGCCCGATGCCTGTCGCCCCTCCTGGGGGCCCGATGCTTGTCGCCCCTCCTGGGGGCCCGGCGCCCGCCGCTCCGCCTGGGGGCCCGATGCCTGTCGCCCCGCCTGGGGGCCCGATGCCTGTCGCCCCGCCTGGGGGCCCGATGCCTGTCGCCCCGCCTGGGGGCCCATTGCCTCTCGCCCCGCCCGGTGCCTGTCGCTCCGCCCGGGGGCCCAGTGCCTGCTGCTCCGCCTGGTGGCCCGGTGCCTGCTGCTCCGCCTGGTGGCCCGGTGCCTGCTGCTCCGTCTGGTGGCCCGGTGCCTGCTGCTCCGCCTGGTGGCCCGCTGCCTGCTGCTTCGCCTGGTAATCCGATGTGCCTCTGCCCGGAGTCCAGCCCGATGTGCCTCTGCCCGGAGTCCAGCCCGATGTGCCTCTGCCCGGAGTCCAGCCCGATGTGCCTCTGCCCGGAGTCCAGCCCGATGTGCCCGGTGTGCCTCTGCCCGATGTGCCTCTGCCCGGTGTGCCCCTGCCCGGTGTGCCGCTGCCCGGTGTGCCACTGCCCGGAGTCCTGCCCAATGTGCCTCTGCCCGGAGTCCAGCCCGATGTGCCTCTGCCCGGTGTGCCTCTGCCCGATGTGCCTCTGCCCGGTGTGCCCCTGCCCGGTGTGCCGCTGCCCGGAGTCCTGCCCGGTGTGCCGCTGCCCGGAGTCCTGCCCGGTGTGCCAGTCTTTGATATCCCGCCAGTTACCAGAACATTTTGCCCAGCTAGGACTGTTTGGAGCACCCTGAGGCCGCTCCTTGAGGGGGGGGAGTACTGTCAGGAATGGACTGGCCAGCAATGGTGGGACTCACCTGCCTTATGAGCTGCAGTACCAGGGCTGGCCAGCGGGTGCTCCCAGCAATTAGAGACTCAACCTTGCAGCCAGTCAAACACCTGGAACTGATTATACTGGTGTATTTAAGGGATGGCCAGACTGCAGACTCTGCCTTGGTGTGTGTGTTTCTCCTGGGCCCTGTATCCTGTTCCTGCTCCCTGTTCCTGTTCCTGTTCCTGCTCCCTGCTCCCTGTTCCTGTTCCTGTCTGATTCATTGCTGACCCTGCTCTGATCCCTGGCTTTGTCTGACCATTCTCCTGCTCCTGATCCCTGGCTTGTCTGACCATTCTCCTCTGCCTGACCCTCTGTACCACGCTGCCCGCTACCTGCTGAACCTGGCTTGTGACCCCGACCATTCTCCGCTTGCTCCCCCTGTACCTACCTGCCCGATTGATATTGACCCGGCCTGCCTGACGACGCTTGCATTGTATGTACTGTCATCTGTGGGTGATTGGTTTGGTTTGTTTGCACTGTGTTATGTTTTAGTATTGCACTGCATTTATGTTTGTATTGTTAGTGTTAATAAATTATATTGTCTATAACATATCTGAATTCTGCGTTTCCCTGCGTCAGTCACACACCTCTGGTCATACCCGGGAGCTCTGACAGTACCATTTTGAGTTGCTGAAATTAAATTTCAGCAAAATGAACTAGCCTGCTGCATCATTTTTTCACTTTGATTTTCAGGGTGTCTTTAAATTCAGTCCTCTGTAGGATGATAATTTTCATTCCCATCAAATGATGGGGCATCCTTACGTTCTTAACACATTACCCAGTCTATGTCAGTATAGATATCCAGCGGTTTTCCTCATTGAGATCTGATGTGTTTTCAAAGTGTTCCTTTAATGTTTTTGGACAGTGTACTTTCAGCACCATGTTGTGTTGCCAAGTTCAAGTGATCCATCATTTTCTATGGAACATGGCTGCCTTCTTGTAAAAATCCTGAAACCTCTTATTACATAAAATGAGTACAGTGATGTTGTGACATTTTATATCAATTTCCCAACAATTAACTTTAAAAAGATAAGAAACATTACATGCACAAAGTTCCCATTACACATCACACGTGATGCCTTATGATAAAGTTACACAAATACCTAAACAGAATATACATGTTAATGTATGTAAATATCAATTGTTTGACTAATTTAAGAAATCTAAACTAAAGAACCAGAATGTAATATATTGCAGCTTACCAGTCCTTAGATGTGGTGGCTGCATTTGTTTTTCTTGCTATAAACATGTTCAACAAGTACAGAAAATAATTGTTGATCTTGCCTGCAATGCAGTTTAATTGTCACTTCCTGTGTGCTGAATTGCAAGCAGACACAATGTTATCTCTCTTTAGCAAATGACTAATTTGCAATGGACATGAAAAAAGGTAGACGTGTCAAAGTCCAGCATGGTGGACAACCATGACTGTCATCTTAGATACAGTCAAGTGAGTGAACATAAAAATAAAGAAAAAAAAGCATGAAAAGAGAAAACTAATAGAGCCTCATTAGGGAGGCTGGTAACTGCCATATACTACTTTTTTTGTTTTGTGGTTTAGATATACTTTAACTGATCCAATGATTATTACCTTACGAGTGAATTTTTCTCTTGTGTCCTTCTCTTCTTTGCTTGGTGATTTGTATGGAGAAGACATTTGTCGTAGAATTTCTTTTTTATTTGCAGGTGTTGCTTCTTGGTCCTCACTGACAAGTTTGAACTTCCTCCAGTCATGTATGACACCTTTAGGCCCTGTGTGAACAACAAACCTCAATCAACACTATATAGTTAAAGACAAAATGTCATGGCAGATGGCCCACCACCCCACCATCTCCCTATTCAGGAGCCCAACCTGTTCAGGCCTGATGATTGCCCACTGGGGCCACAACACTGGAAATCCTCCTTTGATGAAACAATGGAGTGAGGCCACTGCCTCCCCTTCTCTAAGCCTTCAGTCAGTGAGGCTTTGTATTATAAAAAAAAGACCAAACAGAGGATTGGGTGAGTAACAGATAGGGCTCAAGCTGGATTTTAAAGAAAAGGTTAAATTTTTATTTTGTCATGTGCTTCATTTGAAGGGGCTAGGTTTCTGATTGGTTTACTTTATTAATTTGTTTTGTGTAGTGTAAGGAATGTGTTAGAATTTAGATTAGCCATTCATCTTTTGTGCATTAACCTTGTTGAAGTTCAGAGAAAGGTAAACACAGGTTAATGCTTGTAAAATCAATGCTAGTAGCTCATCAGGAGATAAGCAGACAGTTTGGGTAGGGAGCTCCAGAAGATGTAGTAGGAGGTCTTGGAAGCAGCAGAGTGGATGATCTGGGCTGATATTTCAAGATGAGGTTGGTGATGTACCTGTCGGAAGAATTGTGGTTGACTTTTTATGTTTCAGTTAGTATTTTGAAGTTTACATGTTGAGCTAGAGGAAGCCAATATAGGATTCTCACAGAGGGGTGGCAGGTGAAGATTGGTTAGTATGGTAGACTAGTGTAGCATCAGCATTCATTATAGACTGAAGGTGGTGGGGTAGCCTGTGTGGAGGTACACCAGTGAGAAGGGAGTTGGAATAGTCGAGATTGGAGATAACCAGTTAGTTGATTAGTTGCTTTGTGGTGCTCTTTATTTAGGAAGGGGCACATTTTGGAAATGTTACAGAGGTTAAGGGAGCAATATTAATTTAAAGATATTACAAGCTAGG